TGAGCTGTACCCAGGCCCCAGGCCTCTGGCTTTTAAGTAGGCCCGTTTTGCTTTCCCAGGGGACATTTGGTCATGTTTGGACACTTTTATAATTGGCAGCACCGGGAAGAGGGGACACCACTGGCATCTGCAATCAGAGGGTGAGGGTGACGCTGACCATCTGGCAAGACAGGCCTGGCACAGTGGCGCACATCACGGCGAGTTCAAGGCCAGCCTGAACTGCGGAGAGACCCTCCTGTCTCCACAGCAAAACAAACAAACAAAGAATCTGACAACACCTGGGGCCTCCCACCTCCACAACAGGAAACGCTGCAGCCCCAAATGCCCACAGCACCAAGATGAAGATGCTGCTGCCTGGCGGCCTGGTGCGCAGGGAGCACATGGCCCTGTCACAGCTGCGCCACCAGAAAATACCCCGCGCAGCCTCCATGGCCCCTGCTTTCTTTTTTTCTTTCTTTTTTTTTTTTTTTTTTTTTTTTTTGTCTTTTTTTGAGACAGGGTCCCACTATGCAATTCAGGCTGGCCTTGAGCTCACTTTGTAGCCCAGGCTGGTCTCTAACTTGCAACAATCCTCCTGGCTCAGCCTCCTGAGTGCTGAGATTACAGGCATGGACCACTACTCCTGGCTATCTGCCTGAATTTAAATGAAAGAATTTTATTCAAACACTTCCAATAACTACATTATCCATATTCTTCTATTTCCTAAGGATTCTATCTTTGAGTTTAGGTATAATATAGTTTCCCCATAGGGGAAAGAGATTTCTACAAATAATTGGATTTATAGTCATGTAATACTAGTGAATACAATTTGTTAATATTGACTTTTTTGGTACTGAGGATTGAACTCATGAACTCATGCTTTCTGGGCAGGCAATCAGGCCAGAAACCTTGGCCCTGACAGGCTGGTCTCATGAGTTTAAAAAATAACTCTACTGGACATGGCAGCTCATCCTTATAATCCTAGCATTTTCCAAGGTTGCAGCAGAAGGATCAAAAGTTCAAGCCCAGCCTGAGCAACTAACTTAGTGACTTAGCAAGACCCTGGCTCAAAATGAAAGATTAAAAAGAAAAGGCTCGTGCAAAGACCCTGGGGTCAGTCCCCAGGACCATGAATGCACAAATCAGTAAAAATTTTAAATGACTATCAATATGTCACATACATACAAAAAAAAGTGACATGAGTATGCAGTTCAATCAGCGTGTTCACAAATGGAACACACATGTGTAGCCAGAATGCAGCTCAAGAAACAGGGCACGGTTCATGGTGGTGACTAATTCCTTGTTCCCTAATCAGCACATCTTTCCGGTGACACATGGTCCTTGACTCCTTATTGTTTGTTTTGATTTGCTTTATTTTTATTTTTATTTTTTTATCGGTACCGGGGATTGAAGTAATGACCACACACTAGCAAGGCAGGCGCTTATGTCGCTGAGCTAAATCCCTAGCCCCTGATTTGCTTTATTGAGAGGCAGGGTCTCACTATGTAGTCCCAACTGTCCTGGAATGTACAATCCTCTTGTCTCAGCCTCCCCAGCAGTGAGACCATAGGCCTGTGCTGCCATGGCTGATAATACAGCCTTGTTTTTTTTTTTTTTTTTTTGTCTTTTTTGAGACAGGGTCTCCCTAGGTAGTTCAGGCTGGCCTTGAGCTCACTTTGTAGCTTAGGCTGATCTCAAACTTGCAACAATCCTCCTGCCTCAGCCTCCCAAGTGCTGGGATTACAGGCATAAGCCACCACGCCTGGCTTTTTTTTTTTTTTTTTTAATGAGACAGGGTTTAGGAATGTAGTTCTGGCTTCCTCAAACTCACTCCATAGTCTAGACTAGCCTCAGACTTTCAATGATCTTCCTGCCTCAGCCTCCCGAGTGTTGGGATCACAGCTGTTCACATTGCTTTGGCTTATTTTTGTACTTGATCATTTTGGGATTTTAGTTACTTGTGTATTTACTTAGTGAGTTGAGACAGGTCTCACTACGCAATTCAGACTGACCTTAAACTCACAGAGATCCTTCTGCCTTAGCCTACCGAGCGCTGTGATTACAGGTAAGTGCCCCCATGCCAGCCAGAATTTTGGTTTGGATTTTTGGTTTGTTTTTGTTTTTTTGAAACAGGGATTACTATGTAGCCCAGCCTGACCTCAGACTCACTATATGACCCAGGCTAGTCTCCAACTAGGGGCAATCCTCCTGCCTCAGCCTCTCAAGCACTAAGATACAGGTATGCAGTACCATATCTGGCCAAATTTTAGTTTTTATTTTATTTTTTAAGAGTAGGAAAATTCATTGAGGATTAGGAAATGGGGAGTGGTACTAACTTTAAGAGAAAGGAAGGGCCCCACATTGGCTGCCCAAATTTTAGTTAAAAAAATTTTTTTTTGTCTTTTTCATTTTTACCGGTACCAGGGATCGAACTCACGACTGCCTGCTTGCAAGGCAGGTGTTTATGCTGCTGAGCTAAATCCCCAGCCCCCCCCTTTTTTTTGGTCTTTTTGAGACAGGGTGTCGATATGCAGTTCAGGCTGACCTTGAGTTTGCTTTGTAGCCCAGGCTGGTCTGGAACTCGCAAAGATCCTCCTGCCTCAGCCTCCCGAGTGCTGTGAGCCACCACACTCGGCTCTAAATTTTAGTTTTTAAACACATGGATAAGTTTTTATTATCTTTGTCTTAGCCCAACTTTCCAAAACTCATTTAAGACCGTCACAAAGTACACCAGAATGTATATTAAGATAGAATAATGTTAATATTGAAAATTACACTTTAAAATTTACCAGGTTTACATACTCTTAAGTGAAATAAATCAGACATGCATGTGTAAATACCACAGTTTCTGTGGTGTGAGAAAACAAAAGTGTAAATAGGGATCAAAATGTACAATAGATACTGTGAAACAGGAAGAAAATGTTCAAGTGGATGGGAACCAGGGAGGGGGAGTGGCAGAGGAAGGAAGGGAACATGGAAATGAAGCTTTTGTAAATGAAGAGGGGAGGAGAAGGGTTGAAAGGAGTGGAGGGGAAGGGAAGAAAGAATCGGCATCCATCATGTACAGGTACAAATTCCTTGTAATGAATGTGATCATTTTTATACCTAAATTTAATTTAACAATAAAAAAATAAATTTACCAGGTTCCAGCTTTAAAATTGAAAGAGTTTTGGCCCAGACAGGACACTGTAGCTGGTAAAGCCTCAGACGGAACCAAGGCGCTCCATCTCCCCCACCCCTAGGATTTACCTATGCACCAGACCAGTGCCAATGAGATACCTGTGCATCACTAATGCCCCCCTTAGGTTCCACCCCCAAACCTAGGCTACTTATATGCCTCCACTCCACGTGTTCCACGGAGAGATCGCCAACCCCGGGGGGAGATGCCACGCCCCAGGGGATTGGGGGTGTCTCTCCCCATATTCTCAAAATAAAGATCATTTATATTTCATACTTCTTATCTTTTTCTCTGCCACCAGTTCCCCAAAGTTCTATCATATGGTTCCCTGACCGGGATCGGCAGACGAGAGACTCCTGGGGCTTACCCAGTTTGACTCTCCTGCCGTTCAGGACCAGGACCGGACTGCATCCTGCATTAATTCCTCACTTCTACACTCGGGAGCAGTAAACTTGTCACTGCCGATTTGCAAACAACACCGACCCAATTTACCACAGGTGAGCAACCCCCCGGCCAGGCCCCAGGCAGGTTTTCTCCCCCTTTCCGTGGGTTTGAGTGACTCTCTCACGTCCTTAGATAGCCCAAGGCAGAGTCTTCCTGGGCCAGCCTGTGTCCGCACTGAAAGACTCTCATGTACTTCTGAGCTTTTTAAGTAAGTTCTCAAGGGCAGAGCTATTACTAAACCCACGTGAAATCCACTCATATATATAGGTGAAGGCCAATTATTAAGAGCTTTGGAACCATATGATATTGATCAGTCTAGAATAAAAAGAGACGACTTACACTTAGTAGACCCCGGTCTGTTGCCTCATCTGGCTATAACTCTGTGGGCTAGACCCCACACCAGATTTTATCTTTTATTTTATTTTATTTTATTTTTTTTGGTCTTTTTCCTTTCTATTGGTACTGGGGATCAAACTCATGACTGCCTGCTTGCAAGGCAGGTGCTTATGCCACTGCCCCCCAGATTTTATCCTGGGGACCACTTCCTATCCCCCCAAAAAAACCATACCTATCTATGGCTTATCACACTGATGACTGAAAGAGTTTTGGCCCAGACAGGACACTGTAGCTGGTGAAGCCTTAGAGGCAGAACCAAGGAGCTCCTATGTCCCCCACCCCTAGGAATTTACCTGTGACTCCATCTTCCCCGCCCCTAGGAATTTACCTATGGTGCCAAACAAAGACCAATGGGCTACCCATGCATCCCTAATGCCCTCTTAGGTTCCACCCCAAACCGAGGCTACTTATATACCCCGCCACGCCACGTGTCCATGAGAGAGAAAGCCAGACTCCAGCGGTTGGGGGTGTTTTGGTTTTCTCTCTCAGCGTTCTCAGAATAAAGGCCTCTTTTGTTTTATACTTCTCATCTTTTGGATATAACATTGTCAACAACAAGTTTGCAAAACTCTCTATCTTTAAGCCTTTGTTTGGGGAACGTGTGTCCTTTCCCCACCAGCGTCCCTTTGTTTCCTCACTCCGCCATGTGCCAACCCATTCCCCGCCGAGATGGGAGGTACACCCAGTGTTCCCCCTCTCTTTTTGTTTTGTCTTTTTCGTTTTTTATCGGTACCGGGGATTGAACTCACGACTGCCTGCTAAATCCTGCTGAGCTAAATCCCCAGCCCAAACAGTGTTGAGAGATACGCGCAGGCCCTCCCGCCATGTGCTATGTGCCGCCATGCCACCCCCGGTACCGCCTCTGCCTTGAGTGTGTTTCTGAGGGCAGCCCAGCCTGCCCTGTGTGCCGGTCCCAGCACTCGCCCCACCCTCACTCTGCGTGCCCCGCCCCACACGGCACATGCTCTGCCGGCGCCGGACCACAAACACTGATAAACAACAGCTCAGGGGAGATGCTGTTTTTTTTTTCACATTCTCAAACCATTTAATCAAGGTTAAATAAGCCGACAATAGACAAGACTTTGGCTGATAAACCGAGAAGTGGCCACCTGGTAATTTTACCTGCCTTGTTTATCAATTAAAGCCTTCAGTAATCTCCTGTTTAACAACTAAAATAAGGAGGTATTTATGAATTCCTTTTGCTGTATTGTCACTGATCTCCTGTTTAATAACTAAAATTAAAAATAATTATAAATTCCTTTTGCTGGGAACCACTAGCTCTTTTCCAAGACAAGGGTTGTATGATATATGCAAAACAGCAAACTGACACTGCGGCAGAAGCCAAACTTAAACCTTTTCCCAGCCTATCTGCCTGCCCTGGCTCAGCCCTCCACCAAGCCATAATTAACTATATTCAATAACACCGTAGCTGATTTCTCTCCTAAATAAAAAGGTAAAAATTAATTAAGCAGGCCATCCTCTAAAAATCAGATGGCATTAGACTTTTTTTTTTGTCTTTTTCCTTTTTATCAGTACTGGGGATTGAACTCATGACTGCCTGCTTAAAGGCAGGTGTTTATGCTGCTGAGCTAAACCTCCAGCCCTGGCATTAGACATTTTAATAAAATAAAGAGATACTCATATATATGACATAAATAACATGTCCGTTCCTAAAATTCTCTGAACCTGTCCTCTTTATGGGAAGTCATTACTAATATATAAATATCCTGTTGATTATATTTGACTCCTGCATACTAACTTAATTCTACAGATACCTTCTCCTGTAGTCCAGATCCCAAACAAAAAGGCAAAACTTGACCTTCAAACCTCATAGAGACCTTACTATGGTTTTTCATGTTTTCAACAACAGAGATAACAGTGACACTTGGAGTTCTGAGACAGGTAAACCGATACAAGGTGGAACTGCCTGGCCCCCCCTCCATGGACCATGCTCAAATGCAGCAGAAGACATTGGGCAAGAGAGTGCCCCATCCCAGCGTTCCTTTGAGACCTTACCCCAGGGCTACTGGACTGTCCTAGCCACCAGAGAGTGGATAAGCCATCCTAAATTCCAGCCCTCACAGGAAATGCCAACACTGCCAGATTCATCACTGACAGATGTGTTTGGACTTGTTGCTGAAGACTGACGGGGCTCAGGGCCAACAACAGCCACCTTATGGATGTCCGTCTCAGAGTCCAAGTCCCACTAAAATCTCAGGTAAGACATTCTCTATACTTGTGGACATAGAGGCCATGTGTAGGGTTCTTCCTGAGTTTTCAGGCTGCTATATTAAGTCTTCAATCTCTAGGGGGTATTAAAGGTCAACCTATGCCATTTAAAAAAAAATTTTATTTAAGGAGAAAAACAAAAAAAAAAACAGAAAAAGGGTACAAGTTATACAGAATTTCATAAAAAATAAATGGTAGGAAATCACTAGTTGATAGATTACATATTGTCATCTTAGAAATAGTTGTTCAAGTTACAAAATTAAAGCATATAAAGTGGACATTCAAACAGTGAGACTGCAAACAGTTCTGTTCAATGATCCAACAAAACTCAGTAATATGGTTATCTATCTTATACACTTAAATATAGACACAGTTGTATCCTTTAGAGAACTTTCTTTTCCTCTCTTTTTTACAATAACAATTACACATTTTGGATTTTATTACTCTCACAGTTCTTATTACTGTTCTTGAAGAGAGTAAAACCAAATGTGACATAAAAAAACAGAGTCAGTCAAATCAAAAGAATGGACATAATACATAATGTAAAAACAAAATACAAGGTGATCAACAATGGTTACCATAATGCCTCTTGTTATCTTAAAAAGAATTGTCTATATCATCAGTTATAATAAAATTGAACAAAAGGGTAAAGAACAAAACCAATAAAACCAAAACATTTGGAGACATTGCAGGACTTCAAAAGAAGATTATAGTCAAACCAGAATGGGCGTCATAATGAATCTTACTGTCTTCACAGTTGTTGCCTATACTTTGGAACTTGGTACTATCAAGCAAAACAGAATAGAGGAAAATCAGTCAAAACAAGATGGTGAGAGCAATACAGGGTTTCAAATCAAGTTAATAGGAAATCAAAGTGGGTTACTATAATACATCCTGCTATTTTTAATTTATTTTTCCCTTATTAAAAAGATAAAAATAGGGGCTGGGGATTTAGCTCAGCAGCATAAGCACCTGCCTTACAAGCAGGCAGTCGTGAGTTTGATCCCTGGTACCGATAAAAATGAAAACGACAAAAAAAAAGAGAGATAAAAGAGGGGATAACAACAAAACAGCGCAGGTCAAAACATAACCATTTAAGTAAAATAGTATTTTAACACAAGATATCTTGACATAAAAGTAGTTACCATAATGTCTCTTTCCTTGAAATCTTTGAGTATAACTTCGTGTACTGTAGCATCAAACATATCAAGACAATGTGAAACCATTCAAGAGAATGACAGTATTACAGGGTATTTAGAATCAACTAACAGAAAATGAACAATGGTTTCTGTATAATCTCCTTGTCTATAAAAGTTTTTGTTTATATTTTTGTTTATATTATCACATATAATAAAATCCAATAGGATACAGCATGTTAAGACCTATGGAGACAGAAGACCAACTTGATGGAACTTCAAAACAAGAGGATATTAAATCAGCACTAGCTATTATAATGTCTTGTTTTTTCCAAAATAGCTGTTCCTACCATCTAACCTTCTCTGCCTCATTTCTGTTGAGCTCTTTTTCTGTCATTAGTTGTCAGTTTGTCTTCTTCATTTCTCTTTCTGCTCCATTCATTGTGGCCTTTCTGCCACTGTTTCTGGAATCTTGGTATTTTTTTTTAGAATATTCTGCAGTATTCTCTGTAGAGTTGAGTTGGTGGTTGCAAATTCCCCTAGTTCCTCTTTATCCTGGAAGCACCTTGTTTTTCCATCAATTTCTAGGGACAGTTGTGCAGGATATATCAATCTTGACTGGAGGTTATTATCTTTCAAAGCTTGAATTATTTCCTCCCACGCTTTTCGTGATTTGATGGTTTGTGCTGAGAAGTCTGCTGTAATTCTGATGGGTGTTCCCTTGTAAGTGATCCATTTCTTGTCTCTGATGGCTTTTAATATTCTGATCTTATATTGGATTTCTGGAATTTTGATTATTATATGCCTGGGTGTAGCTCTGTTTGGGTTGTAGGTGTCTGGGGTCCTGTATGCCTCATATATCTGAGTATCTTTACTTTTTGCTAAATTAGAGAAATTGTCTTGGATTATTTCTGTGAATAGCTTTTGTAGTCCATTTGTTTGTGTCCCTACTTCTTTTATGTTCCTAATTCTTAAGTTATAGATCCTATTATCATCTTCTAGTGTTTGTATTGTTACTGCTTGTTTCCTTGTTATTTTTAAGAAGTTTCTCATTTCATGCTCCCACTTTACAAATCTGTCCCCCAGTTCAGCTAATCTGTCCTTAGTTTCTTTCAAGCTGTTATGCCAGCTTTGGATAGAGTTTTTAGTTTCCTGGTAATCTCTTTGAACCTGCTTCATGTATTCTATGTTTTCTCCATCAAACAATTCTCCCCTTTTTGTCTGCCATTCTACCATCTGTTTTTTCTTGGGTGGTGCTTAGCATTTCTCTAACTATTCTACTTATATCTTGCCTTACTTCATTAAATACTTCTCTTTTGAACTCGTTTATGAGGCTCTGGAGATATCGCTTTATGTCTATTGGTGCCATGCCTGATACTGCATGTTTTCTGTCCTCCTTTGCATTTCCCTTTCCTGGATCAGTGTTCTCAGGATTGGGGACCGAGGACCCTTTCTTGTTGCTCCCTTTTCCCATACTTTTTGTTCCTTCCATACAAGCATATATAGGAGGCCCAGTTTCTTTCTTTGTCGGTTACAGTTTCTTTGAATATGCTGGCTAGGTGTTCCCGCCCACTGCAGTGTACTAGGGAGACACAGACCTGGGCAGCCTCTGCTGGGCCCGCCCCTCCAGGTCAACCTACCGAAGGCTTCACTGCTAGGGTGCACCGCCAGGTGCTGGCACCTGGTTTGGGCTAACCTACTGGGTCTTAGTCTGCGCTGTCACCCAGGCCAAGTGCTCCCCACCAATCCCGCTTGAGAGGGGAATATGTGACTAAAGTCACTGTAGCATCCTGTTCTGGCAAGTCTGCCCCTCCCAGAATGTCCTCTGTTGGAGCCTCCTAGTCTATGGAAGGGTCCCCGTTTCTCTCACTCACCGCAGGTCGATGCAGGGCTCCCCTCTAGTCTGGCTTTCAACTCGGTTCACCAATTCCCCACTCTCAGAGCTTTTGCGCCTCTGTCCCTACTGTGCCAATTCAGATGCAGCAGCAGCGGCAGGAAATTCAAATCGTGGTTTCTAGAGGTGCAGGTTCCAGCTTCAGTGCTGAGATTTTATCTGTTCCAGTCATAGTACTGGGACTGCATTTCCAGTTGGTTTCTCTCAGCTTAGTTGGTTTCTGGGTTGGCAGGGTATATCTCCCCTTGCTTAGGACTCCTCACCCTGCACCGTTCCTGGATTCTATGCTGGCTATCTCAGAGAGCCTCCGTAGCTGCTGTTATCTATCCTGGAAGTCAACCTATGCCATTTCTGTTTTGTTGAGGTTCCAGACTGCTTCTCCCCAATCCACCCAGTGGTGCCAAATCTTCCCTCCACCACTCACTCTGCAGTCCTAAACCTTAAAAATGCTTTTTATTCCCTTGTGTTTATACAGGTTGACACAGACACTGAGGTCTCAACAGCTTACACCTGTTATTGCTAGTAAACCTCTCCTCCATGATATTAGACTACCTCCTTCCTTTCTTGTTCACCAATTTCTCAGGCAACCCTGGTCAAGACTGGCAGATAAATTTTGTCTTCTCACTTTGTTTATACTTTTTCAGGATACATAAAAGCCTTTCACACAACCAGGGAGACTGCTGACATACTTACTAAAATCCTGTTACAGCAAATCATTCCAAGGACTACAACCAGGTTACAGCGACCCATACCTTATATTCTTGGCAACCTCAACAGTGATCAAAGTTGCTAGACTGCCATCCTGGTTTCACATCACTCAGGCTAAGCGGTGCCCTCCCAGCCCTAAATCTGATCATTCTGAGTGGTCATCTCATCTTCTGTCGCCCACCCGTCTCCATTTCACGAAGGCCTCGCAGCCACAGTTCACAGGCTAAGTCATGTTTTGTTGTCCACTTTGGTTCCTAATTTCTTACGTTCTATTAATGATCATTTCTACAGCAGGACTCTTGACAGTCTTTCCCAAAGACTCCCACATCATGCATAAGATAATCTTCATAATGTTCTATGCGATGACTGTCATAGTTCTTTCTACCCTCAGCTGTCTGGTTAAGCGTGACATCCCTGAAAGCCTAAGCCCTTACCTTCCCTATACTGGTACAGCCACTGCCTTCCCTGCTCCCCCTATTTTTTCCAGTTCAACTCCTGGACCAGAGACAAGTTGTTTTTTTTTGTGTGTGTGTGTGTTTTCCCTTTTTACCGGTACCAGGGATCAAACTCACGACTGCCTGCTTGCAAGGCAGGTGCTTATGCTGCTGAGCTAAATCCCCAGTCCCCCAGAGGCAAGTTTTACACACCTATCCTCTTAACTTTCACCCTTTCAGATGGGGGAGTAATCACCTCTCATAATTTCACTCCTTCTAACCTCACACTTATTTTTCAGAATTCTACCTCACCTTGATAATGATCCTACCTCAATGTCATCCTGATAAAATAACAGGTCTAAATCAAAGGCACCTTTCCCTCTACCTCACCTGGGTCCTTAAATATGACAGTGCCATGTCTCCTCATAACATCTTGTCTCTTTGTTTTTCCAGTCTAATGTACGTGAATTCACCAGTGAAGTTGTCCTGCCCAAAACACCTGGCACCAGCGTCTACCTGGGCATCAACCGTCATCCCATCATTCCCCTAGACTCTAGTACAGCGCCCCCTGCCAGCAGGAATCAGTAAAGAAAGAAATCTTCACCCCTTTTCATAATAATAATCATAAGATAGGATATGAAAGAGTTTTGGCCCAGACAGGACACTGTAGCTGGTAAAGCCTCAGACGGAACCAAGGAGCTCCATCTCCCCCACCCCTAGGAATTTAGCTATGGTGCCAAACCAGTGCCAATGAGATACCCGTGCATCACTAATGCCCCTTAGGTTCCACCCCCAATCCTAGGCTACTTATATGCCTCCACTCCACGTGTTCCATGGAGAGATTGCCGACCCGGGGGGGGGGGGGGGGAGATGTCACGCCCCAGGGGATTGGGGGTGTCTCTCCCCGTATTCTCAAAATACAGGTCATTTGTATTTCATAGTTATCTTTTCAGCTGCCGCTGGCCCCCCACAGTTCTATCAAAAATATCAGGAAGCCCCTGCATGGTGACAAACCCCTAATCCCAATGCTCTGGGTGGCTGGGGCAGAATTGATAGTTCAAGCCGGGCCTATGCAATTTAAAGATTATCGGGCCCTTATCTATCAATCAATCAATCAATCCCTATTCAGAAAAATAAAATACCTGGCAGCTGGGTGTGGTGACACACACCTATAATCTCATCACTCCAGAGGCTGAGGCAAGAGGATTGACAGGAGTTCAAGGCCAGCCTAGGCCACAAAGTGAGTTCAAGGGCAGCCTGCACCATAAAAAGGAGCCCTGACTCAAAAAGAAAAAAAAAAGTAGAAGAGAAAGAAAAAAAAAAAAAAAACATTCACTGAAAGAAAGATGGCCTCTTTAAAGAAATGGTGCGATGGCTGGGGATTTAACGTAGCAGCACATGCACCTGCCTGGTGCAAGATTGTGAGTTCGATCCCTGATACAAAAAAAAAATTTTTTTCCTTAAATAATGGTGCTGGAAAAACTGGCTCTACACTTGCCAAAGATTAAAACTGGACTGATGGCTTTCACCATGCACTGTTAAAATCGGAATGAATCAAAGATCTCACTATTAGAAACATTAAGTAGGCGAAACTCTTGTAAGACATTGGTGTAGACAAAGACTTTATGAACAAAACCCTGACTGCACAGGAACTATCACAAAGAATCAACAACTGGGATCCCACCCTCGTGAAAAGGTTTTACACAGCAAGAAAAACCACTAACAGAGTGTAAAAACCCACAACCTGGGAGAAAATGTTTGCAAAAGGGTTACTATTGAGACCATATAAAGAGCTCAAAGAAATCGGTCCTCCCAGATTTAAAGACCCAATCCACAAGTGGGCATCTGAGGTGAATACATACTTCTCAGATGAAGAAATATAAAATAAATATGTGAAAAACTTCAAATTCACTGGTCATTTCAAGAGATGTAAATTAAAAGAGCACTGAGATTCCCCCTCACCCCAGAAAGAATGGCCATCAAGAAATCAAGCAATAACAAATCCTGGTGGAGCCGGGCATGGTGGCATACTCCTGTAATCCCAGCATTCAGGAGGATCCTTGCAAGTTTGAGGCCACCCTGGGCTACAAAGTGAACCCAAGGCCAATCTTAATCACAAAGCAAGACCACATCTCAAGGGCCAGGGATTTAGCTCAGCGGCATAAGCGCCTACCTGGCAAGTGCAAGGTCGTGAGTTCAATCCCTGTTACCGCAAAAAAAAAAAAAAAAAAAAAAAAAAAAGCCCTCTCCACTGTTGTGGGAATATAGACTGGTGCTACCACTGTGGAAATCAGTAGGACTATAGGACCAGAGTGCCCGTTCAACCCAGCTAGTCCTCTTTTGGGTATCTTCCAAAAGACTTAAAAACATCATACCACAGTGATATCTGTGCATCCATGTTTATAGCAGCACAGTTTATAATCATCTTGGAAACAACTTAAATGCCAATCGGCTGAGGAATGGATAAAAAAAGGTGTGGTGTTTTTATGTGATGGAGTACTACACAGCCATAAGGAGTAAGTAAATGGATGCACCTTGAAACATACTCATTAATGAAATAAATAACACACACTCGTATAAACATCATACTGTTTCATTGGTGTGACAAGCCGAAAGCAAAAACATATGTGTGTGTATATGTAAATAGTTAAGATAGTCATACTACTGATTTCTCTGAGTTTGCTGAAGAGAAAGATTTGTGCGGGCAGTGTTCGGACAATCAAAGGCAGATGTCTTGTGCTCTGGATGAATGATTTGGGGATGACAATGTGTAATGTACATACCATCGTTACCCCCTGATTGATCAGCTTTGAAATTTTGCTGTAGTTTTTTTTATTCTTCTTCTTTTTCTTTCTTTTTATCTTTGAATAAAATGGATTTGAAGAAAGAAAGAAAATATCTGGCAAGTGCAAGATCCTGAGTTCGATTCCAAACATCAAAAAAAAAAAGAAAAACCATAAAATTGTTATTTTTTTACCCTTGGAAATTGTAAAAAAGAAATTGCCATTTTTCTACCCTTGGAAATCCACGGAAGTAACAAGGGGAACGAGACTCCGAGCTCAAGCCTCGCCTGCACCGGAACCGGCAGGACTGCTGGCCGGCCGAGCTCCTGCGGAGGCCGCGCTCTCGGGACCCGCCAGCAGAGGGCGCCGGACCGCAGTCTCGGGGCGGCCGCTGTGCAGGCTCCTGGAGGTCGCGCCCTGCTCGGGGTCCGGGTCGGGGCGCGGCTGCCCCCGCTGCCCTGCGGGCTCCTGCGGGGCCGAGAGCGGCGGGGCTCCCGGGCTGAGTGTGGAGCAACCATCGCGGACGGGTGCACGCGTAATCACAGGCGGCGGAGGCCCGGGAGAGTGTTCGCAACCCGACCAGCGGTTTCTGCTTCTGCAGGAGACCTGGCGGTCGGCCTGGGAGCCAGCGATGAAACCCAATCAGGAAAATACGGCTTCCGGGCGTGGAGGCGCGCTCCTGTAATCCCAGCGCTCCAGAGGCTGAGGCGGGAGTATCATTGAGAGTTTGAGTCCAGCCTGGGTATATAGTGAGTTCAAGGCCAGCCTGAACTGCATAGCAAGATCCTACCTATAAAAAGAAGACATGCCAGCCAGATAGAGTGGGGCGTACCTGTAATCCCATCACTCAGGAGACTGAAGCAGGAGGATCACCAGTTTAAGGCTAGCCTGAACTACATGCTGTAGTGAAACCCTGCTTCAGTTAAAAAAAAAAAAATGGTTGGCTGTGGTGGTGCCCGCCTGTAATCCCAACATTCAGGGAGGGAGAGGCAGGAGCATCACAGTGAGTTTGAAGCCCCCTGAGCTACATAGTGACCTCAAGGCCAGCCTGGACTGCATAGTGAAACCCTGTTTCAAAATAAAAGGGGCGGGGGGCTGGAGATTTAGCTCAGTGGCATAAGTGCCTGCCTTGCAAGCAGGCAGTCGTGAGTTCGATCCCCGGTACCGATAAAAAGGAAAAAGGAAAAAAAAAAAAAAAAAAAAAAAGAAAGAAAGAAAAGAAAAAAGAAAAAAAAAAATACTAGGATCTTGGTAAACTGCTAAATCACCGGGGCCTCCCGTCTCAGTCTCCCAGAGTGCGGGGGTTACTGTGCCTCCCCTCTCAGTGCCCACTCGCAAGCTCGTGGAGACCTGGTCTCTCTAAGTGGCACAGGCTGGTTCGATCCTCTTGCCCCAACCTCCAGAGTTCCTGGATAAGAATGTGCATCACCACACCTGTGATCATTTTTTTTTTTTTAACCTGTGATCATTTTTAACCTACTATAGAAATGATCCCTGGGGCTGGGGATTTAGCTCAGCGGCGTAAGCGCCTGCCTTGCAAGCAGGCAGTCGTGAGTTCGATCCCCGGTACTGATAAAAAGGAAGAAGACAAAAAAAAAAAAAAAAAAAAAGATCCCTGAAAGCATTTTTTTTTTTTTTTTTAGGTACCGGAGATTGAACTCATGACCTCAAGTTTGCCAAGCAGGCGCTTATACCAAACCCTCGGCCCCTGTGACCATTTTTAATACACAAACACCTGGAGACTGAATTGCCAAGTTGAGGGTATGATGATTTCAAGTTCTTTACTATATAGTGCTGAACGGGGCCCCAGATATTTTGTTCTGGTTTACACTAAGGAGCAGGCAGTACAGGTGTGCCGTAATGTCTGTTTCTGCACAATGAGGAGCAGCCTTATTTCATGTGCTTGCTGTTTTTGTTTTGTTTTATTGTCTTTTTGAGACAGGGTCTCGCTATGCAGTTCAGGCTGGCCTTAAACTCACTCCCTAGTCCAGGCTGGTCTCAAACTTCCAACAATCCTCTGCCTCAGCCTCCAGAATGCTAGGAAAGTTGTTTTTTTTTTTTTTTTTTTTTTTTTTGTCTTTTTCCTTTTTATTGGTACCGGGGATTGAGCTTACGACTGCCTGCTTGCAAGGTAGGCGCTTATGAGAGATTGCTTCTTTTTCCCATAGGTTTGTGGTGTATTTTAATTTCTTTTTTAAATTGTCTGTTCATATGGTTTGTCTGCATATGTTTAAGCAAATGTATTTTTTTTTTTTGATACCAGGAATCGAACTCAGGGCCTTGCACTTGCCAGACAGGCACTTATGTCACTGAGCTAAATCCTCAGTCCTTGTCTGCCTATGTTACGAATATGTCCTCAGATCATTTTGCTTAATTTTTTATCCTTTTGGTGATAGGGTCCCACTGTGTATTTCAGGGTGGGCTTAAACTCACGGTGATGCTCCTGCCTCAGCCTCCCATGTCCTGGGATTAGAGGCACAAGCAGGACCATCCACATGAAGAAACACGTACACTGAAGTCTGGCCAGGACTCCGCAGTCCCATCCTTGAATCCAGCTGTTGCACCCCACCCCTAGCACATCAGTTTGGTCACCAACCAGAAAACTCAGCTGGGCTTTAGAGTCCAGAGTAAGTTCTTTTTTTTATTAAGTAGTAGGTGTGGTTGATTAAAGTACTGGCCATGCTCTGAACTCAGTCTCCAGTAACCTTCTCCTCCCTAGAGATCAGTGTGCTGGCTCCAAGTCCCCTGCTGTAGTCAGAGTTTGCAAGGAAAATAACTTAATACAGGATACCATAATTTATAGGATTGTTTTATAATAGTCACCCGAAGAGTCAAATAAAAAAGGAAAACTGTCCACTGCTAGAGACCCAAGGAATCCACCGAAGGCCCAGATTCCATGGTAGTGTCCAGATGAAGACCTAGAGACCATAGAAACGTCCTCACCAGTCTGACCTAAGGCCCACAGCACACGACAACTCATGCTTTGGAGCATTCTCGGTGTCTCTGCCACAGATGTTTCAGGAACACCCCAAGATGGGGCCTGGATGTAATTTTAAGAAACTATTCTAAGATGTGGTTGTAACCGAGAAAGTTCGAACCGAGCCTAATTATTGTGTGTGAGTGTGAGTGTGTGTGAGTGTGTGTGTGTGTGTGTGTGTGTGTGTGTGTGTGTATGGTACTGGGGACTGAACTCAGGACCTTGTACATGTCAGACAAGCACTCTACTACTGAGCTACATCCCCAGCCTAGCTTAAACCTGATTAATTTTATTGTATTTGATTTAAGAAAGAGCCCGTGGAATAACGGGATGGGTGGACATTTTCAATCTGGGCCCTAGAAGCGTGAAGTTAGAGTTTATCTGGTTTCATCCAGAGTCTGAGGCCAGGCATGGTGCTCACCTGTAATCCCAGCATGCGGGAGGCTGAGGCAGAAGGATCGTCAGTTTAGGCTACATAGTGAGTGCAAAGGTAGCCTGAACCACATAGCAAGACCCAGTTTCAAAAAGAAAAATGAAACAAAACAAAAATAGAGTCTGGAGACACTGACTGCTCTGTAGAACCGGCAGGGAGCCGGGAGGTCATTCTGTTAGAGAAGATAGCCCGTGCTCCTGCGCCCCTGGGTGAGGGAAGATTAGCCCGCACCCCTGTCAGCTGCAATTTGCCCTAATGCTCGTCAGGCAACCTCTGATTAATAAGCAGACCGCTGGCTCATCTTGCTGTGTGCCCCCCCCCCCCCAGTGCTGTGCTGATAAGCGCTAGCCTGATTCATGCATCTGTTTTTATGGCTTTGGCCCCTAATTAGCCCGCAGACAGAAATTAGCCCAGCTACAGCAAGAATGGTGTTGCCCTCCGGTATGCTGTCATCCTGTGGCTAGCCAGCCTCTGTTTACATTTTACTATTTAGTTTTTTGTATTTTTTTTTTTTTTTAATCGGTACCAGTGGGGCTGGGGATTTAGCTCAGCGGCATAAGCGCCTGCCTTGTAAGCAGGCAGTCATGAGTTCGATCCCTGGTACCGATAAAAACGAAAAAGACAAATAAATAAATAAATAAATAAATCGGTACCAGTGATCGAACTCACAGCCAGCTGGGCACTTGCAAGGCAGGCTCTTATGCTGCTGAGCTGAATCCCCAGCCCCCATTTAGTTGTTTTTTGTTTTGTTTTGTTTAGTTTAGTTTTTGTAGCACTGGCAATCACACCAAGGCCCTACTCCTCACCCAACTGCAGGCCTCTTTCTAGACGTGGGTGTCCACCTCATGGGATCCTCAAAACCACCACAGCCCAAATGAGGAGTCTGCTCTGCAGGCCCCAGTGGCTGGGTGCTCCTGGCTGCAAACCTTGAAGGCAGCCTGCTTTTAGCTGGACCTGGTGGCACATGCAGGTAACCCCAGCACTGTGGAGGCTCAGACAGTTGGACTACACAGGAAGTTGCAGGCCAGCTTGGACCACAGGGCCAGACTTAGCTCAGAAAAAAAAAAAAAAAAAAAAAAGCCCGTCTTCTTGCAGACCTTGGTTGTAAGGGTACTGTTTTCCTGGGAAACAGTGCTAGGGATTGGAGCTGGGCCTTTGCCCTGAGATACTGATATAGGAGAAAGAAACCCCCAACCTGCGAGATGTCTGACATGAGTTCACGTTCTCTAAAATCCAAGAATGAATTTAGGAACAATGGAGCTTAAGAGCAGGATGTATTTATTGAGCGAAAGAAAGAGACAGAAGTGGTCTCCCAAGTGGGTTGCCAAGGACCCGGCCTTTTCTAGAGATTTTTTAGAGCAAAACCACAAGGTGAGGTGAGTCTAAGGTCGGGAAAAATGGGGACTCACAAGACAGGAGGAATGAGGTGCGACAGAACTGTGGTCAACCAAGAGGATTAGGAGTGTAATTGCTCAGGTAAAATTAAGTTGAGGTCAGATGGGGAAGTGAGTCACACAGCAAGGGGCAGGAATACAGGACAGGGCCTTTGCCTGCAGGGGTTCGGGTTAGTGGCTCCTCCAGGCCTTCTCAAGGTGAGCGGGAAGTATGCGGGTATATTTGTTTGATCTTTTGTCATGAGGTCTGATCCACAGCAGGACGGGTCTGTCTTCCCCTCAGCCTGGTTTTCTGCACAGGTTTCTTTTTTTTTTTTTTTTTTCTTTTTGTCTTTTTCATTTTTATCGGTACTGGGGATTGAACTCACGACTGCTTGCTTGCAAGGCAGGTGCTTATGCCGCTAAGCTAAATCTCCAGCTGAGGGCTAATTCCTATCTGACTGCATATAACATTTTTATCTAACTTAGCTGCCTACAACAAACAATATATTCCCAGACATCCTCACTTACTGTGTGACAGATTTCAATAAGTCACCATGGCTAGGTTTGAACTTACGATCTCCTGGTTTACAAGCAAGCACTGCCATGCCAAGAGATTTTTTTTTTTTTTTTTTTTTTTTAGACAGGGTTTCCTTATGCAGTTCAGGCTGGTTCAAACTTATTTTGTAGCCTAGAATTCTCTGAAACTCCCAGCAATCCTCCTGCCTCAGCCTCCTGAGTGTTTTGTTTGTTTTGAGACAGAGTCTCATTATGTAGCCCCCGCTTGGCCTTGAGCTTGGAGCTTCCTCTTACTTCAGGCCTCTGTGTACAGGATTTACAGGTGTGTGCCATGCGTGGTTCCTAGGACAATATTCTTTTTTTTTTTTTTGAAACCGGGTCTCACTATGTAGGTCTGGCTGGCCCTGAACTCACAGGGATCCTCCTGCCTCAGCCTTTCAAGTGCTGGGATTATATTCTTATTTAAACTGAAATCAGACCAATCACTTCCTAGATCCTCCCTGCTGTGTTTTGTGTGTTTCAGCTGCCTATTTTCAGTCTCTCCAAAAGGACATGGACAGGAAAGGGGCCTGTCCCTCTTTTTCCACTGTCTTTTTTTTTTTTTTTTTTTTTTGTCTTTTTCGGTACCAGGGATTGAACTCGCGACTGCCTGCTTGCAAGGCAGGCGCTTATGCCACTAAGCTAAATCCCTAGCCACTTCCCACTGTCTTTTGGCAACATATTTTGCACAGCCTCTGCTCAAGGGCTATCACTGATTTTTTTCTTCAGTATCACATGATTTCTCCTTCATGAGAAACCAAAAGTATAAATAAAGAGTAAAATAAAAGATGGATAATAGGACATAGAGAGATGGAGTTTCTGCAAATGGGGGGAGCAGACCAAGACATGGGGTGGTGGGTGCAGAAGGGGCAGGCGATGTAAAGGAATGAAGTGTGTGTGTGTGTGTGTGTGTGTGTGTGTGTGTGTGCGCGCGCGCGCGTGGCCAAGCCCGAGGCACTGTGATTTTTGAAGTATCAGCTACTAGTGCAGGAAGGGCCCTGATGTGCTTCTGGCAGCTGCACCCCTCTGTCTGGCTGCTGAGCCTCTCTCCCTCCCTGCTGAACAGTTCCTGTCTCCTGACCCACGGAGGGTCCTAGCGCAGGGCCAGCACACAGTGGCCCCTGCAGGTCTGACTTAAGCAGGGAAGAGTAGGATGTCTGTCTGCGTCGGGCAGGGAGGCTTCAGGGGAGAATGGGGAAGGTGTTTCTCTTATCTCTGCTTCTGCCACCCCAGGAAAAAGGCACTTGGCTTGTGCTTGATAGGTGCAGCCAAGTACAGAGCGATTTCAGTGGGGGAGGAGAGAGGCAGAGGGAGAGGAAGAGGAGGAGGAGGGGGAGACAGGAGGGGGAGGCGAGAGAAGAGGGGGGAGGGGGGGAGGGGGGCAGAAAAAGTCCCGAGGGCTTCCTTGCCCGCGGCTCTGGCTATCAGCACTGCAGATCTGGGGAGACAGACGGGGTTATCGGACCCGGAGGTAGTGACCTGGTTTCTGCAGGAATTGCCTCACACATTCTGGAATGCACTTTTGGTCATCTGGAGCCTCCCCAGGCCAGAGCCGTCTTAAGTACTAATCTTTTATTTGCTGTTGACCTCATCTGGACGTTTCCCCTCGCGCCTCCTCCCCGCCCTGCCTCGGCCCCTGCTCCCCGTGCTCCCCTCGCGTGTCACCCCACCCACCCGGGTGTGAGTTGGGGCCGTGATGTGATCCTGGGCGGCGGGTCCCAGACCTCGCAGGGGCCACGCTGCGAGGCCACGCGCGGGTCCCCGCAGGAGGAGGAGCAGGAGGAGGAGGAGGAGGACGAGGTCCCCGCGCCGGTTGTGCGCGCGCGGGGCGGCTTCCCCCAGGCTGCCCCTCATTAGCATGAGCGGGGTGGGGGTGCGGCGCGGGGCCGGGGGAGCGGACGGAGCCGGGCCGGGCTCCGGGCCAGAGCCCGGGAGCCCTGTCCACCAAAATGACAGCTAGAGCCTTCTGGCTGCTCTGCCTGCTCGTGGGGTGCTCCCCCGAAGCCCCGCTGGCGGAGCGGAAAGGTAAGGGCCGGGCCGGGCGGGGGCGCAGCCGGGGGAGGGCGCCTGCGGTCCGCGCGCTGCAGAGGCGCAGGACGGGTCCCCAGACTTTGTCTCCGGGCTGCCTCTGCGGAGGGAGGCCAGCTCAGCTGCTGCGGTGATCCCGGGCGAGCCAGCGGGCTGCAGAAACTTTGCATGTTAAGTGGCTGCTCCGTCCCGGAGGAGGGAAAGTGTCCAAAGGGTCGCGCGGGGTCCGCCCTGCCGCGTCTGGGCCCACGGGTGGGCAGCCCCAGGCGGCCGGGGCGAGGCGAGGCGAGCGGAGATCCCACAGTGCGGCGCTTCTGCCCCGGGACACCTGAACCAAGACCTGCCTGCCCTCAAGACCCACACACAATTCACGCGTGAAATGAAATGAAATGACCGAGGGAATGATAAATCAGGCATTCTCTGCAGGATGATGTTTTGCTTTTATGTTCTGCTCGCTTCACTGTCTTTGGGAAAAACAGTTTCCGCACCTCACAGCAATGTCCTCCGGGTTATTTTCGCACATGGAAATGGAACGACTTCGGTGGCGTTTAACCCAAATATCAGCCCATCTTCCCCATGACAACAGATGGTGGCATCAATGGGGAAGCAGTGGCGAGGTCCACACTTGACAGGCAGGCATTGGCTCTCCACCAGCACTTTCCTCAGCCGTGTGGGGTACACTCGTTTACCAACCACCGTGAGCATCAGCGGCTTTGCAAAAACATCAGCTCCAACCAGCTATTATTGCTGGGTGAACGCTGATTTTACAGGAGATTACCAATTTGGCAACATAACCACTTTAAATAGTTGCCAGAGCTGTAAAGAGGCTTGCGACCAAGCTCCTTAATGCAAGGGGGAAATAAAGACGTTCCCCGCATTCTTATGCCTGATTGGAGGGCTCCCGGACCCCTCCAACAGAGGGGTTAGATTGTGTAACTGGACGTGGCAAGCTGCCCAGTTTCCGAGTTGGCTGAAGTTTGCTCACTAACCTGTCTGCAGAGTTGGGAAAAAATCATGTAATGATTTTGAAAATGTGTCTCCGTGCCTTATCGTTTAGGGGTTTCTCTCCATCATCTGATGGAAAACTGGAAGCAATGTGTGCTTTTATGCTTAACCAGGGGCCTCTGCCTCCCAGGCAGTTTAAAACACCCTCCTAACTGTTGTTTCGAAGTAAGTGGTGTCCAAGAAGCCAGATAAAAAATCCACTCCCAAACGCTCAATTCTGCAGTTCTGCAGACCAAGATGACAGTGTAAACACGGATGGGAAAACTAAATAGTTCTGTTGTCAGGGGCGCTTAAACAATTAGAAGAACCTGTAATATGAGACTTTTCCTCCTGGGGGTTGCTCTTGATACTTTCTCAACAAACTGTAAATAGCAAAAAGGCGGATGTTTATACATACAGATATGTATATGTTTATATACGTCTATGTAAATATATGTGCATTAAATGAAAGGCAAGAAGTGTGTTATTTAACCAATGTCATCAGAAATTTGAGTTTGGAATAAACAGAGGGCTGTAACCAGAAAAGCTAGATCTGAAAAGGATCCGTCACAAGATAAAGCGTTTCCACCAGGCCTGTGAGTCCCCATTTGGTGCGCACTTTTCTCAGCGGGTCCCCTGCAGACAGGGCGAGACCCTCCTCCTCCTCCGGGAGCGAGGAGACGCGCCTCTCCGCGGCCGCAGGGGGGCCTCCCCACCTCCCGATCGCTCCTCCTGCAGGTGTTTGGCAAACTCCGCTCCCCAACTCCTCTTCCCTGAGTCCTTTCTTCTTCCCTTGCGGGCCCGCCCCTGCTGCCGGCCTCCCCGTGACGGTCTCCGCCTTCTCTCCGCAGCTACGTCGCCACACAACCGAAAGCCCGAGCCTCACGGGGCGGCGGGCGCAGCCGAGACAGCCGGGCCCGGGGCGCAGCCTCTCCCCGAGGCCCCGCGACCGCTGCGCGCGGCGGACGTCGCCCCTCGCGCCTGGCCCGACCCACGGCGCCGGAAGCCCCCGCTGCCCGCCGAGAACCGCGCCGGCTTCCGGGAGGCCGCGCGCGTGCTCGCCGGGCCGCCGGGCCCGCGCCTCGCGCAGGCCGAGAACCGAGCGTCGCCGCGTCGCGCGCGCACCCGAGCCCTGCGCTTCCCCGCCGCGCGGCCCCCCGCGCACGCCACCGAGGCTCCCTCGGGACCCGTGCACCCCAACCGGCCGCGCGCCGCTGCCCCGCCCCCGGAGTCGGCGGCCGCGTCGTCCGCGAGCGCAGCGGAGCTTGGCGCCGAGCCCTGCGCCTGCGCCTGGAGCGCGGACCTGGACGAGCGCGACGCCTACTGCGAGAGCGAATTCGGTGAGTCCGCGCCGGGCGAGGCGAGCCTGTTCGAGCCCCAGAGAAACATCCGCTGGACCTAGGAGCCCGGGCCTCGCGGGTGCTCGGTGACGCGCTAAAGTGCACAGGACAGTGAGCGAGGAAGTCAGTGTGATGTTCTCCAAACTTGTGTCTTGAAAGCAGCCGTGAACGGAATCGTGCACGACGTGGACGTGCTTGGCGCCGGGATCCGGCTGGTGACCCTGCTGGTGGACCGCGCCGGACTGTACAAGATGAGCCGCCTCTACATCACGCCCGACGGCTTTTTCTTCCGAGTGCACATATTAGCCCTAGACTCCTCCACCTGCAATAAGCCATGCCCAGAATTGAAACCCGGTAACACAACAGACCTGAATAACCTCTTCTTAGATGAATTTCCTATTGTCATTTGTGAGCTGGATACCACAGTCCGGCTTCCGTGGACCACGGCCCCTTGTCGGGCAGTTCGGTAACACAGAGAATTTACACCGCAGGTATCACTGCCCCCGCCCCAAGGGGAGGTCAGCAGGGCCTGGCGCTCAGTATGTTGAGTGAATCCCTGACCCCATTGCCAGAAAGGACAAATCAGTTCTGTATAGAAACTGAGTTGAAAAAGGCTTTTTTGGGGGGGGGGGGAGGGCACGCGGGAATGCGGAGGGTGTTGTGGTATCTCCTCCCACTATTCCCGAGATCTTGTCCAATACCTTGTGTTCTGTAATGGTGGGCTAATCAGATTGCCTTTCCACCTGCTGCCTGTAGGTTAAATGTGTTTCAACATGTGCAGCAAGATGAGATTCGAGTTTAGGTGTTTCTTAAAGGTCTTCCATACTGATTGTCTTGTGGCCTTTCAGTGACTCTTATTTTTGGTTACTTTATTTATTTAGGCAGCAGGTACATTGTGATGGGCCACATCTACCACAAGAGACGCCAGCTCCCCACAACTCTGCTCCAGGTCTTGAGAGGGCGCCTGCGTCCAGGAGATGGGCTGGTCAGGAGCAGCAGCAGCTATGTTAAAAGGTTTAACAGGACAAGAGATCGGCAAGTTCAAGGTGCAGTTCACACCCAGTGCATCTGAAACATCCCATCCCAGCGCTTGAGGATCACAAGAGACTTGGAATTCAGCAAAATGACGGAAAGGTTTAGATTCATGTAATGGTGTCTTCCTTTCACAGGGCCACAGCTACTTCACAGCCCTAATCTGGAAGGCACCACTTTCCTAGCGACACAATGCTGCTTCTGAGCTCACAGGCAAAGTTACTCAACTGCTGGGCCAGTGATTCATGTGGCTTTGATACTTCACCTGTCCAGTTAACAGATCAGTGCTTCATGTGAAATTTTTAAATTATTTTAATTCATTTTTCAGTAGAAATAGTTCACAAAACCCCTTTTGAGTTTTAAATATACAATTCTGAATAGTTTATATCAGGATCAAACCAAATTTTATACTCAAGCCACATTTTAAATTCTATACATAGTAAGCACACTAGTCAAGGACATTTACATATGAAATGTCACTTAGATCAAACACAAGGGTCAGAGCCCAGGAAAAATACTATTTTACACGTAAAGAGCACTAAAGGGCTCAATCCAAGAAAATGTTATTCTAAGCTGTTTTCCTGATGTACCAGAATGTATGAGATATTTTCATGCCTTCCTGCTTCCAATAACATGTTTTGTGTCAACCTGGATGCTTATTTCAGTGCTAAATGTATCTGATGGCATTTTTCTATTAAAACCAAGTATCATGCTTGTGTTTGTTCAGCAGTAAATCTTGCCTTGAAATCAGTTCTTGGATGCACCTGTTACTTCTTTTAGCCTCACTGAACCTAAAGTTCTGAAAAAACAACTTCCCTCAAATATCCTTCCAAAATCCTAGTACCAGTACCCATCAATGACAGCTCACAAGCGACTTTCAGATGTTTTTAGTTGGTTCTAAAAGGGTTTTTCCCTAGCTCAGTTTAATTATTTCATACTTGAGTTCACAAAGACATTAGCATTTTTTCAGATCAAGCCGTACTGGTTAACTTGCACCATGAACAGACACCAAGAATGCTCACCAAACACAGTGAGCATCGGTTTGGTCTCAAGGTGATAAGCTCCTGGAGCTCACAATGGGTCATTTGCTGAAAATGGAACATGGAAGCACTGTGCTAAGGACATCGGGACGGGACAAAGGACTGACAGAGAAGTAAGTGGCACAGTGTCAGATGTAGCGTGATACTCTTTCCGCTTCACCTAGACACGGAGTGAAGAAGTAAAGTTGAGTTTTTGAATATTCTGTGGTAAATCATTTCTGAGGCTGGAGGATCCCAAATTCTAGGCCAATCTGGGCAGTGTACCAAGATGTGTCTCAAAATGAAAAGGGCTGGGGATGTAGCTCAGGGGTAGGAGCGCCTAGCATGCCTGAGACCCTGGATTTGAACCCCACTGATGTTTTTAAAAAGTCTTTTTAAAAATCGGTACTGGGGCTCGAACTCATGACTGCCTGCTTGCAAGGCAGTTGCTTATGCTGCTGAGCTAAATCCCCAATGTTTTTAAAAAATTGTTTTGGAAATTGACCTATTTCATAAACTACGGGCAACAGAGTATGCAGCTAATAAAGCATTGTTTTCTTTTTTCCTTTTTTGAAGCAGTCTTACTAAGTCACCCAGGCTGAGCTCAAACACATGAGCCTTCTGCCTCAGCCTCCTAGTGTGCTGGGATTACAGCTTGCACCACCATATACAGCTAGGGCTAAGTTTTAAGATACGATTCAGACATAAAGGTGCATGCTTATAATCTCAGCATCTAGGAGGGTCCTTAAGTCTGGTCCAAGCCTGGGAAACACAGAGACATCCTTTCCAAAATAAAAACTAAAAAGGACTGGGGATGCAGCTCACTAAAGGCCCTGGCTTCAACACCTAGCACCATCACCAAAAACAAAACAAAAATGAGGGAAAGATGGTCTGGTCAGATGTTCAAGTTAAGTCTAAATGGGTCTAGTTTAAGACGAAAAAAAGTCACTTTTACATGAACCTGAGAGTTAATATTTGACTTAGAATAGTTTGATACAGTACTATTTATGAAAAATTTTGGAAACACACAAAAATGCCAGTCCTGATGTTTGAGAAACATTTTTTTGGGGTAGGGGGGACCTGGGATTGAACTCATGACGTCGTGGTTGGCAGGCTGGTGCTTATGCCGCTGAGCTAAATCCAGCTGATACTTGGAAGTCGTATGAATACACATCCCAGAAATATAGGCAGGGCAATTTCTTCTTTTTTTTTTTTTGTACCAGGAATCGAACTCAGGCCCTTGCTTTGGCCAAGCAGGCACTGTGCCACTGAGTTAAACCCCTGGTTACTGGGGCCAGTTTCTTAAACTGATGGGATAAAAATGAAGACCATTGTACAAGTCCAGGTCTGCAAGGCAAGAACAATGAGGCTCAACCAAAACAGAATAGCAGAAGGCTGGAGAAATGAGCAGGGAACAATTAAAAACAGATCAGGAGTTTCAGGGTGGGCAAAGCAAAACTAAGGAATGGTTAAGAAATCTCATTTTCAGTAGTCAAGTCAGGACCTTAGATACAATTTTCAAGTCTATGGAATATTTTAATGAGCACATTCATTATAGCTTCTAATCCTTTTGTCCTACTGATTTTTCTTAGCACACGGTGTGCTTCAAACGAGGGCCTTCTGTGCCTCTGTGCTCTTACAGAAGCTCAATAAAATACCTGTGTTGCCAGGGATATACAGCAGGGTGGCACAACACCTGCCCGACAAGTGCAAGGTAGTGGTTTGATCCCTAGCACCAAAATACTTCACTGCCTCGAGGAGCAATTCACCAGCACCACCTGCACATTAAAGCTGTTCCTGTATTCAGTGGCGCCCACCATCGGGCCCTGTACCTGTTTCTCCAGAATCATCTGCACAGGTATCTGAAAAATCTTTTAACGCTGATTTGCCACCCACAGTGCGTAGCCTCAACTTTGGTACATACTTGACATATATAAGTTGAAATATAAGTTAGATAAAGCGGGACTTCATCCTTTTTTACAATAAGCTTCTTTCTTTAGTTGAATCTGGTTCAAATTGAATCAGTCTTCTGAGAAATGCTTTTGGTATCTCATTCTAAGTACCCAGAAGTCCTTCAGAGTACTTCAAATTATTAAAAGAACTTTTCAGCTGGCCCTTTCTGCTCTAAGTGTCTAAAAGCCATTGTTTTGCCCGGGAGCATCACCATTCTCATCTTGGGGACTAGAAACCTGAGACCTCTGGGGGAGTGCCTCGATCGGGAGGGGCCTGGCCGTGCTGACGGACAGCTGTCTGACTGGAGTCTGCAGGTGTGCGGAGATTTGAAAAGGGTCCCAGGTTGGCTCTATAATGTCAGAAACGCAACAAAGAAGCCAGGAGTTTGCCTAACAGAAGTGAGCAGAAATAGGGAAAGAACTTTTATTTGTAGATTCTAGAAGATAAAGTTACAAACAAGAGACATCTCAAGGTCTAACACTCCAGGCCACTTGTAGTATAAAAAGGTGATTCAATGTTCATGTTAGAAAATATTTCCAAAGTTATACAAATTTCTTTTTAAAAACCTACTGCAGGACCTTAATACAAATCCTGCAGAATTTGGCTAGGAAAAAAAAGCCTTACCAATATTATGAAAATAGCTTTTATGATCTCAAGGATTGTGAACTTTGCTGATGAAGCACAACAAACACTGAAAATACTTTTAGCCTAAGAAATCTATTTATGCAAGTTAAGTATATTTACAGGCCTAAAGACTGGAGTAGAAACATCCTAACAGTATCACAAATATGTATTATACTACTTGGATTACTGAAAGCAAAATAGCTTAATATCTTACTGAATAGAAGCTCATTAAGGGATACTCATAGAAAAGCAGCTTTTGAAATAATGTTTTTCAAAAATTACTCTGGAAAGACTAAAGCTCCATAGTTGATAAAACTATAAAATGTTTTTATGTATATGGCAATACAAAAACATATCATTTAAATACACATATGAAATTAACATCTTCCTGGTCTCAGGATTTTCATAAAATTTATCTCGTTTGTACAATTTGATAATGCTAACAGCTTCAGAAAATAACCAACCAACCATTGTTTCATTAGAAACTGCACGAAATCCAATGTCAAAAACATTATTTTATTTTCTAGGATGAAATGTCCTATTAAGTACAAAAAGAATCACTGTTCAGAATCTGCCACAATTTGTTAAAAACATAGCAATCTATTGCCTAAAGGTAGGAAAGTTTTTGCTGAAACAGCTTTTAAAGGAGTAAGCCCATTTATATTTATGAATAAATAGTACAGAAATACTGTGATGTGATGAGATGCAGAATGATTCAACTCATTAAAATGTAGAATTCTTGCATCAGCACAGTGCATACAGTATGTAACATTTTTTAAAAACTAAAGAACATAATAACCTGTATTTACGTCGGTTTTAATATTTTAAGCAAAAACTTTGTTTCCATATCTGCACGTTGAACAATTAGTCTCTTTAGTTTGTAAGCATAGGTTTAAGTGACATCTTTATATACAAAAAGGAATGGGCTTCATTACAGAGAATTAACCCAGTCAGCAGAACCTACACACCTGAGCCTGTAATAAGAACTGGGAACTGTAGCAACACCTCTCTTTTATGAAACTAAGGTCTGGGAAAAGTTTGCATAGCAGGGCAACATTGAACCGAAGAAAATCTTTAAAAAACGGTAACTAGGTGAATTCTAGAACTTGGTAGGACAAAGCTGATAGAACTAGTGCAAAATCTAGGAAAATTTTTGCCGAGAGGCATGATCTAACTGTAGCGGGTTTCCAAGGAGCCATGGTTACAATGCAGTAATACAATGCAGACAGTTATAATGCTCAAAGGAAAAACATGCAAAATACACCTTCCTTTGCTGTTCCATTGTCTTCCCAGTGTTTATGCTACTTTTCCTTACACAGCACAAAACCCAGCTAACAAAAACTCACCAAAGATGAGGTCACCTAAAAATGCCTTCATGTAATTTAAGTAGCTGTCCGTTACTGTTCATCTGCCTGGAACCACAAGAAGTGCAACGAAGGTCCCGTGCCTCGTGTCCTATTACCGCTCTGTTCCCAGTGGTACGATCAATCGACGACGCAAGAGCATTAGCACCCTGGTGTAGTAGCAGTGGGTGGGAATTAGACAAGGAAGGGCCACTCCTGTCCTGGAAAGCCCGCGTCTGACAGATCTCACTGCCTTTCATCCCGGGAACCCCTCCCTTTCCCCACAGAGGCTGACAGATAACCATGAGTGCACAGAGACACCTCCATCTGTGGGAGAAAAGTTATCTCCATTTATTTTGTTTCATATACATCCATAGTTGAATCTTAATACAAAAAGAAAAAAATTAGAATCTGACAAATGTTTACAAACAAGATACCTTCAAATAGCTTCTGTCATTTTAGCCTGGTGCAGAGGAAAGGACAATTGTATTGATATATTCAAGGCAACAGAGTCTGTAGTCCAGGACCACTTTGCCCAACCTTTCTGCAAGCTTAATTTTTGTCTATCACGAACAATAAACTCATTGTTGATTCCCAGTTGTGTGTGTGTGTGTGTGTGCACATGTGTACATAGCAGCTCCTTTCATAGAAAGAAAAGACATCTAGAGGTCATCTTGTACTTTTGCCTACAGGAATCATGATAAGATACAGGATGGATTACATGTAACTGAGGCTGGATTTTATAAGAAAAAATAATTAGCTGACAAATGAGGGTAGCAATAAAAAAGCGTCTTTTTTGCAACAATAAATA